ACTCCTTGATCTCGTACTTTCAGCTTGCAGAAGAAAGGTCTGTAGGGACAGCAGTTTCACTGCTTCAGTTAACAGCTGTTCTGGAAGCTACACCAGCTACTGCACAAAGGAGATGCACAAACTTGGTGCAGAGAAGAAAAGGTTTTATACGTATATAGATATATACGTATGTCTATAGATGCTCTGGTTTTTTTAATACACCTATATAGTACATACTAGACTCCTTTGCTAACCCTTTAGCAAAGCAGACTCAAAGATGAAGAGCTTAGGTGCATAATGCTTACGCATTTAGTTACTTGCCAGAACATAAATAATTTTTATCCTGAATTGCACAAATATTGACCAAAGTAATTTTTCTACGTTTTCAGACACCTGGAGGGCTTAGAAGCTGGGCATAATTCACACAGCAAAACTGCCAATATTCCAAAATCATTCCTTGTGTTGAATATCCAGCTCTCACCGATTACTTTCTCCACAACATAGAGTTTAGATCAGTATCTCGTCTTAATGTAATCCTTAAAAGCCATCCCCAAGACCACTCAGACATCAGAAGGGGAAGCATTTAAAAACCATACTTCCTTACATCGCAAGTAGCCTGCAGGTTAGGGCATCCTCCATATTTTAGTAGTTTATGCATGGCAGCATCACATACTGCAACACACTTCCTGCCATACCTTCTCTAACCTTCAAGTATTAGAAGGGAATGAAAAGACGCCAACATGTTCTGCTGCATACCAACACGTGCAGTTAGCTCAGGGGTTTGAAGCGAGAGTAAAGAACAAAAGTCATCTCCACCTGGGCCTCTGAAGGCTCATTTGGGCATCAGGCAGGTCCACACCTAGCCTCACCTGGGTAGTAGAGCAGCACCTTTGCAGAAAGGAAAGCTGCCAAGTGGGTTTCAGTACACAGTGTGCACCGTGGCATTTCCACTAGCAAGCGTGCAAGACGGCTTGGGCCTGGGCTGGTGCCTCTGTGAGGAATGCCACCGCTGCAGCCGCCGGAGCAGGCACACCCTGCCAGGAAGCCCACCACAGTCAAGAGGGGACAACACGCTCTGGCAGCCCTGTGTTAAATTCCAAGCCATTTCTGCAGTGTTTTCTAATGTTAATGCTACTGAATAGCAGTCATGCCCTATATATATCTTGAAAGGAAAACAAATAAAGCTTTTCCTTTCCCTTCTGGGCCTTTTATGTATAGGCCTATGCATAGGAAGAATCATTTGCTCAAAGGAACACCCCAGAAACGCTAAGAGTTGTTAGGGATCAGTTTGGATTTGGATGCACAATTCCTGAACCTCTTATTAACTTATTCATGATGCTATCTGATTTACATCTTCTTCATGCCTCAGTTTCTTTAACCAAAGAAGGAGTAGCAAGTTGTACAGCAATATTTTTCACATGATCTACAGGCACGATCTTTGCAAACATTTTGAAAAATATTAAACACCTAGCAAAAGATAAGATACAGAGGAAATGTGAAAGATTTTTCTGGACTGTAGGAATTTAGCAAGTTTCAGACTAAACTTTTTAAGACAAGGGACAAAAGGAGTCAGCAACCTACAGATCTGTCACCACTCATTTAAGGACTCAGAATGCATTATGGAAACACACTATTTCAACAGATTATGAAAAAACATTGGTGGAATAGACTTAAAAACTAAATGAACAAGCTTGAAGAAACAGTTGAGATAATTGCTTAGCATTCTATTTCCTTTGGCCAACACAAAACAAACTTCAAAATTATAGTAAAAATATTTTTATAAGGGAGAGAAGTATGCTGTCCTAAACAGACTACCTGTTCATGTGTTTTTGCTGCCTCAGTGTTATTTTAACACAAACTGCACATAGTTGCAAGCAGCTAAAAATGATGGTACTACATGCACTGCAGATCTGAGCTGTTTCAAAAGCCAAACTTCATACATGCTGCATGTGTACTAACTCCTATACATCACAAAAGCATCTTAACAGGACTAGTCTTATCAAAGACTGCAGCATTCAGTTTCCCAACAGGCTAACTTGAAAGCAGTATTTTAAATATCTGTGCTACATTTTGTAGCAGTTTAGACTTTCTTTTTGGAGGGGATGGAGGGACCATCTAACTCTGACATCTTTGAGAGCACACCTTACTGCTTCATCACCGTGAGAGAGATCATTCACAGCCCAGCTCTTCCAATTGCTGAGAATTTCCAGTCAAAAGCATCCTTGCCTTGAGTAGAATTGAAGATCAGATTGTTCATTTAGTCAGGAATCGCACACCAAGCATCTATTCTTCCATTAGTTAAAAGGAAACTTCTAAATCTTATGTTACGAGAATGGTATTTGCAGGGATCAGAGGCAAGAAAAGTTACAATTATCTTTAACGTTTGAAGGGTTGGTGTGAAAAACTCATAAGCAGTTGTCAAAGCTGGCTATCAAGCATGCTTTTAGTAGGACAGCCATACTACACATGCAGAGTAATTTAAGTCAATTACCTTGAAAACATTTTCTACTGATCTTTTGACTAACAAGTAAGATTAATGTCAAAGCAAAATAAACATTAAGAATACAAGCAAGTATGTTTGTCCTGATTATGAAGAGTTCTGTCACACAGCACACAGAAGCAAATCATGGTGTAATACTGTTCAATGAACAAGCAGTAATATTAAACATTACATGATCTTCCACTAAGTGAAGAGACAGCTAGTGTTTTAAAAAGGATGACAATCGACTAATCTCAAACTAGGTTTTCAAATATCAATGTAATAGCAAAGCGTAGGCTAGTCTCAAACTTCTTTTTAGATAAGTTACCTTCATTTTTTACCTTGAGTGTTACGCATGTAGTGCAATAAAGAAGTGTCATCTGCCTATCAGGCCAGGAAAAAAACATCAGCACACTCCAGCCAGATAAGGAAACAAACATTTATTAGAAACTGGTAGTTTTAGAGCTAAAAAGGTAAACGTATGTTTAAGAGACAAAGAATACACAATAGAACACAGTCATCATGAAGGCACATAATGAAAAATTAGATTTGAAAGACCACATCTTTTCAACATTTGAAAACATCATTACCACAATTTTCAATACTCCTAATGGCACTTGCACACTATAAACAAAATGGAGCAAATCTAGAAGATAGACACTGCTCATGTGTCAGTCAATGCTCAAGTCATCTCCACACCAGACACACGCAATACATTTGCTCATTGGTCACAGTCAAACAAAATGATTGGGAACCATTCTCACAAATCCCACAAAGATACAAGAATGTTGGTAAAACCAAGAAACATTCAGATCAGAAAGGCATTGTACATATGGATGATTTGGATAGAATGACTTTTTGTTGTTTTTTTAAGAAGTGCAAAGTCCAAGGTTTCCCTAAAGGGAAGGCCAAAAGACACAGCTAAAGCTGCCATTTTCTCAAATCTGATAAAACAACATTTTATAATCCAAACATTATGGAGCTGTTATATATCAGTTTATGGAGAATAAACACCAGCCATGGAAGCACTGAACACTGATTTACATCTGATTGCTGCTTGGAAAATATGGCCCAAATAGTCTTCTGTATGTGGAACAAGGGAGGTTCAGGCAGTTATTTGTGTTTGCTTGCTTATTTGTTTGTTTAAAAATAAAGTAAAAAGAGATACCCTTAATGACCTTACAGGAACAAAGTTCTTCTTTCAGTAATCCAATTTCAAGAAGTGGTCTAAGAAGAGTTGCTTTTAGAAGGTCAAGGTAAGTATAAAGATAATCCCAAATTTACAAAGATTAAGACACCACATGTTGCAGAAAGCAGAAAAAGCATAACAAATGAGTTTGGCCATAATTGTTACTCTATTTCTGTGTTCAGGCCCAAAGGCAACTGAACTGCAGCACCACCCCCACCCCCACCACCCCCAAAAAAAAGGAATTCACTCTGGAAGTATTTGTACATGGAAATAACTACTTTGTACATTGAGGAAGTGCTGCTTTGTTTTTTGAGGAGGAGCTGTTTCTCAAGCACTAACAAGTTCTGATGGGCACTTGAGACCAGCATTCCCATTTGGTCACTTGGACAAATGGCTTCAGTATTTTACCCTCTGAATTTCACACACAGAGCCAGCATGCACAGAAGACTGTGAGGGA